GCTAAACTTTTTTGTTGCTCTATTCTAAACACTTGACAATACTATTATTAATAAATATAATTTCCATTAGGCTAAACTTTTTTGTTGTTCTATTCTAAACACTGTGTAATACCAAAATCCTATTCTCTAACTTTAATTATTTTCAAAATATAACAATTAATTTAATTACAAGCTACCCTTAATTTGTATTGATTTTATGGTTGCACGACAAGTGTTGAAAGTGTTTTTTCAGCTTTGAGTTACATCAAGAACAAATTTAGAAGTCAAATATGCGTCAATTCATCAATGATTGTCTAGTAGGATATACCTAGACAAATTTTTTGAGCAATGTAGACATCAAGTGTATTTTACAATTTTTTCAGAATATGAAAATACATACTTTTTTTAACTTCTAAGAGTTGGGTGTTTTCTTTTTTAATAAGTATTTAATAATTAATAATTTTTTATATTTTAACTTTTTTCATAAATTACATCCCTATGTAAAATTTCTGGCTCCGCAGTTAGTGTCAATACGGTGCCATAGAATTCCTAGTAAATTAGATGAACAGCATAAGAGTTAGTTTTGGTAGTAATAGTTAGTTTTTTACCTTTCAGTTTCAGAGGTGTTTTTCTTACTTGTTCTACTACAGTTTAAGTTTGAATTTTGTGCCAGTTGATTTTTTATAGCCACCGTTTGTATTTTTGTCCTAACTTCTAGTTAGGAGTGGAAATCGGTATGGTATCGGTATCCCAATACCAAATACCGAAATTCTGAATATCGAATTACACTCTAAAATCAATCTCAATCCCAATCCCTAAATAATTTCGGTATCCCAATCCCTAAATATTTCGGTATCCGAATCGGTACTTCGGTATCCCAATCGGTATTATCGGATACAAAATTAATTACCTTTACAATTAGTAATTAAATATATAAATTAGATTTGATTGTTTAATATATGACAAAGAGACTAAGCAAAGACTTTTGAGTTTCGCTAGAGCTAGGATATTGATAAGGAGAATGGAGGAGATGTGACATCTCAAGTTTTTGACATTGGTAATCTTTAATCTGACGAATTGGAGGTTGAGAGAAGACTAATACTAGTATTTGCTTTTTGGTGTTATGAATATAACAATAGATTGGTGGTTGAGGGTCGTGTAGTAGTGTATCTGAGAGTCTAGTTAGTTGAGAGGATAAAACACACACTAGCTTATATTTCGGTATTGTTCGGTACGTGCCTTTGATTCAAATCCACAGAACTACCAGTTGTTTCGAAGCCCTGGTATTCTGAGATATATGGGCCTTAGGATCAAATCCGGCTTCACATTGTAGGACCAATCGTCGTAGCAGATTGGAGCTGCCTGCTGCTGCCACTTTCATGGGCCTCCATGGATATAGCCCCCCACTATCTTCACCCACTGTGGATGATCTCGCCGGATCCACAGAGCCTCACCCAATACAATTTGCTACCAAACTTTCTTGTTTTTGTACCATTCTTTTTCTTTATGTTTTGTTTTTAGCCCTAATTTCTCATCTTTATTTTTCCAGCTCTACGATTTTGTAATAAAACTTGCTTATTTTTAATTTGTGTATCTTTCTCCTATTTTTTTCTCCCAAATGTGTACCTTTTTTATTATGTAAAAAATAAGAGTGTTCACCAATTTCTCCTTTCTCCATTAGGAACGGGTACCTATTTCAATTTTTTTTTATTCTCCTATGTTGCCACATGCATTCATCTTGTTTAGATAACAAAGAAAACATCTTGTACTAGTTAAAAAATAGGTTACGCCAATAGTTTATTAATTTATATTGAACAAGAAGAAGCATAATGAAAATCACATAATATTTTAGACGTTACTGACATAAAAACACATATTCGACTAAAATATGATAAATTATAAATTTTATATATATCATATATCTGACTTCTAATTTTTTCCCCTTACCCCTCCTAAACTAAATTCATGACTACGTCCCTGCTTTCTTGATTGTCTGGTTATCCCACCATTGTCTATTGGTTGAGGAAAAACTGTTCCCAAAGATGGTTTTGCCAGAGTTCCATGCGGGCTCTACATGATTGATAGAAGGATCCATGAACAACAAAACCAGTAGAGAGTGGGGAAATGCATGAATGTGAACAATGCGGAAAAAAGCAATGCTCTGGAAGAGAAGTATCCGGTTATTGTATCACACATAAAGATCAACGCATAAGTCACTTGTACTTAATGGCTGATTACATTCTAAATCCTATACAGGCATGCTGTAATGGTTGTCATCGAGTAGCAACTCACGAAATGAATAGTAGAAAATTAACTTAGGAAAACAGCAAGCATCAAAATTTGTTGAGAAACGGGGCATCAACAACAAGCAAGAACCTAATGTACAAGATACGTGATTTTTACGTGAAAAATCATGAAATCTTTGTTCAAACAGTTTCACTATACTTTGGTGGGATTACAGGTCCTCTCTAAACTAACTAAAGGATTACAAGCACATCTACATCTTTCTTTCTTCTCTCTTCTCTCTTATCTTTTTTATCTTTCATCTGATTCTCTATCCAGAAAATGAAAGGCTGTTTCCTCTTTTCACTTTTGACCATACAATAAATCTCTCTATTTTAATAATAGAGGATCTTTTAGAAACCAACCATAACCTAAACCAAATCAGAAAACGATCCAACCACCGTCTGAGTTGGACCAACCCAACAAAATTGTTGTAGACATTGTAATTAGGGTTTTACAAACCTTGGGATTGTTGATCATAACCTTCTTTGTCGTCACTCTTTGAATAACTTCCCAGGCGTCCTGAAACACTGATGAATCGCCGGCCGGCTTTATATGCTTCGTGCATATCTTTGCCACGTCTCCCCAAGCCACCATCATAATCCTAATCCATATATTGGGTGAACAGAACACCATTGTTAGCCAACAAAGTTAACAGAGACGACACACTCATTTCAACCTCTCCCTCTCGCTCGATCGAGGCGTAGGTCTGTAGAAAGTAGAAACGGATCAAGCTCTTTGGGCCCGTTGTGAAGAAGAGCCCGACAGGCCCAACTTAGGCGTAGACATCGGTTAACAAAAATATAAATCATTATTCATTAATCGTCATTAATCGTCTCTCTAGAAAACTAAATTTAAGTTTCGGACCACTCGCCGAAGTCCAAAGAACTTAACTTTTGAGATTGAGAAGTGAAAACCCAACACTTAATGTTTTTTCAAAAATCATTCAAGACAAGAAAATTGTATTTTTAGTTACCAAAAATTAGATTTTTTATAAGCGATAGTATGATTCCAAAAAATAAAAGAACGGCTTTACTCTATGCAATATCAATTTCTGAAACGGCAATCCACTTGAAAATATTAGTTAATTATAAGTTATAAATATTTCATTATTTTATAAATGATCAATCCATAAAAGAAATCAAAACTTTTAGCGATTTGTGTCACAATTTATATGGATTATTATTACTTCAAATTGTACATATGATAAATTTAGAAATGTGGTATGAGAAAAATAGATTGTTTATATGATTTATTAGATGTGCAACTTAATTATTGGTTTTCCCCTTTAAACCTCTTCGTTCCACTTCACATTGACGTTATTATGAAATTTATATGATTTAATTTGTTTAAGTCTATTTAGTGTACCGAGTTAAAATAACCTTTTTTTCACTTACCAATCCATGTAGTTTTTTTGCTTTTGCACATACGAGGAGGTAGGTTAAACATTTGCACTTAGAGGTGGCAATTCTCAATCCAATCCAATCCACCAACCCATTAAAAATATTTACCTAATCCAATCCATTTAAATTCAATCCATTTGATCCAAATCCAATTGGATTGGTGGATTCATGGATTGATCCATGGATCCAAATGGCAAATTACGGTTTTGTACCTATACTTTTTATATTTTACATTTTGGTACCCAAAATTTAATTTTTTATACGAAAATATCTTTGGAAAATTACGTTTTGATATAAAAATCTTTTATTATGACATTTTAGTACCTAAACTTTTCACATTTTACATATTGGTCATTGGTTGAAGATGTCATTTGGATTCATGGATAATCCATCAATCCACTTGATCCAATCCGTGAATCCACCAATCCATTGGATCCAATCCATTTGATCCATGGATCCACCAATCCATTCGCCACCTCTTGCACCAATGCTTATTTGCTATAAAGGATATTTGGTCAATTGATTTGCCTAGTTAGTAGAGTACATGACTAAATCAGTCCACTTAAATTTAACCCATTACGAACTACTTTTAAATAATTAAACAAGTTAACCAAAGGCCCGTTATGTGGCACAAAATGCCCTCTCATCGGGAGTTCGACTATTAGTCAACTATCGTGTTTTTCTTTCTTCCTCCTTGTGAGTTGTGACTATCTTTTCAACACTGATTTTGCGGAAAAAAAAAACAAGTTTACCAAATTAACCAAATTGAATTTGGTAAAAAACAACTAGATGATGTATAATTGCAGTGCCTGATAAGTCACTTGTGTAAGAGTACGTCGTTGACATGAATTTTTTTTCTTCAAAATATATAAAAGTGGGTGTAATTTATTAATCTCATTAAATGAAAGTTTTATGTGGAAAAAAATTTGAGTTGAAATGAAAACGAAATGAGTCATTTAAAACTGATAGGGAAAGAGAAATTGAAAGAGATAGAGAGTGTGTTATGTGGAGCACTTTGGTTTGTCATTTCATTTTTTGTGTTGAAACTGTGGTTTAACAGCATTTCATTTTTTATACTGCTAGGTGTCAGCGACATAAAAGTTTGAACCACCCTGTGAACTATTTTTCAGTCGAACGGCGCTACAATACGATTTTGCATACACTAGATTCTATACCCTCATTTTTTGGATTTTAATTTCCTTTTAATCTTTTTTTAAGGTTTTACTACCATACAAGTTAGTTAGTTGCATATTTTTATTTGTGAATTTCTTCATATTTTTCGATTAAATGTATGTATCATTAATATAAAACTTAAGATGAATCAAGTACAATATCACTCATAATAAGAAGGCTTTACCGTAATCTCGATTGTCAATACACACCACAAAGAGATAGTTGACATTGTTAAACTCTTGTATTTTGGTAAAATCACCCAAAATTTTATTTCCTGAATGACCTAGATGATCTTAAAGTCAGAATAAAAAACACAAGGTAGGAACAATAATGATGGCGCTAACCAAACTAAAATAAAATAAAATAATGGTCTCTACATTAGTATATTCATTTAGAATTTGCTAGATTCTAGCATTTAATTGGGACTTGATTTTCAATTGCTTTTATTTTGAATATATCCGAGAAGATGTAAATGAAGAATCGAAGGCACTGCAAATGAAACCAAAGTTTGTCTAGTTTGATCAAGACGGTGGAGATCAGAATTTAACACCTGGTTATGTTCTTAAAGCAAAGATTTTAATTGATACTAACGTTAATTTATTTTTTGCGAGGAACCATCTCTTTCATTCTAATATACTTTTGATTAGTTAAAGACGAATATAATTAAGAATTCTTAACTGAATATTAGGAAAAACATGAATAAATTTACAAACTTTTTATTACAAGGAAGAACAAGGCATCTTCCTCTTAAAGGACGAACAAGACAAAGCACAATTCGGAGAAGACAAAGAGGGACCAACAATGGTTTTGTTATGGAAACTATCGTGTAGCAACTGTAGAATGTAGAAAGGCCGGACTCAGAGATCCACACCAGATAGAAAAAGAAGGGGGAAGAGAAACGTCAGCCCTCTGAATTTCTCTGAAGTCAGGCAATGCGCCCGCCTCTCTGCTTCCGCTTCAGAGACGACCAAGACTCAACCTTCTTTCCCACCAACGCACACGACGAATTGTCAACCAACCTTACCCTTTGACACCGTTTCTCTGTGTTTAAGTCGTTCATTTTACAACAGTCAGAGAAAAATCTACTGTAAACAGAAATGGCCTCTGTTTTCCGCCGGGAAACCCAACAATACCCACTCTGCGAGCTTCGAGCAGAGTGAAACCATGGCCACAGACTACATGAATCTTGGGTTCGAGCCCTCTGATCGCGGCGATGCCGACGATGAAGGTAAAGAGGGAGAATCCGCCACCAGACTGTCGCCGCCGGGGACAAATGTGAGGCACCACCAATTGAGAAGGCGGAGAGGCGGTTGCGCTTCTGTTGATTTCGTCAATTCGTCGTCCTGCGAAGGAGGTCTGAAGGATTTACCGCCGCCGACGCTGCCGAATTTCGATTCTCTTCCCGTTCCCCCTCGTCACAACTCTTTCCACCGCTGCTCTGTTTCCTCGGATTTTGGGAACCAGATCGGCGGAGGCGGTGGGGGCGGGAATTTGTTTCGGCACCGTGGACGGTCGTTTACGCAGAAGAGGCTTACGAGGCAGAGGAAGCTGCGGCATCTCGGCACCGATGAGCTGCCGACGATGTTGACCGAACGGCGTTGTTCTAATTCGCAACCGGTGTCGCCGGATTCCTCGGAGAAGCCGCCGTCTCCTCCGGGCGACGGGTCGGGGCGGTACTTCCCGGTGCCCCAACCGTTACCGCTGCCACATCGTCGTTTCCACAGGAGGCTGCAGTCTGCGGGTCCAAATTTGGGGTCGGGTCATAACATCGGGTCGCCGGACAAAATCCCGTTCTCTTCCTTCCGCGGGTGGGGCACCGACTCGATTTTTGTCGTTAATTTTCCTGTAATTTTAATAATATATTTATTTATTTTCTCTAACTGTTCACTTCTCTGTTTCTCCTCCAGAAAGGTCCGGCATTCCAGCGACCAAGAGATCATCACGCTAAACCGCAGCCGTTACTCGCCGCCGGAGTCGCCGGATTTCATCGCCAAGGCGAGATCTTCGCCGGGGAATTCGGACCGTCGGTCTGTATCACCCTTACCGCAACCGCTGCCGCGTCCTGATTCGTTCTTGAGTAGGAGGCCAGAGTCGCCCGTTCGTACCTTGAGCAGGAGGCCAGATTCGCCCCTCCGGTCACCGAACGGCAGCGGGAAGAGCTCGTCTTCAAGGAAGTAAGAATTCTCTCTTCAATTTGTTCATTGATCAAATTTCTAGCTCGAATTTTTCCTTCGTTGAACAGCATTTCATTTGTATAAAACCCTAATTATGAACAAACAGTGATCAGAACGAGATCGCCAGCAGGCCAGCTTCTAGATCCTCGAGCAATTGCCACGAAATCAATTTGTTGCCGAGGAGCTCATCCACCAGCTATTTCGCGAATCTTTTCCCTTCTCGGCTCGCAACAGAACCGCCATTGATATCTATCAGCAACCGCCGGAAGGAGCTGCCCAAAGATCTGAACGTCTGCCTTTCCTGCAAGTCTGGTTCCGTTCATTCTCCACAGAGCACATCTTCGAGTTGCTCTAGTCGTGCCGTCAGTCCACATAGGTCAACGGCTGCTGGGAATTGTTTGCCGTGTCCTGACGAAGTCCATTTCCATTCCGATTTTGAGGTTCCAGAGTTCAGGCCATCTGGTAACATCTCACCATCGTCATTAGTGAAGCGTGCGCAATCTAGCCCTGATGTTTCTCCACTTCCGAGCCCAACATTACAGAAATCGTTCCCCTGCCCAAGAAGTCCCTCCAAATCTCCAGTTCCATGGCACCACACATCTGAAGGCAGCATCAATCAGCTCAATCCTTGCCCGTTGCCCCTGCCGCCTCCTTCGGTGGCCGCATCTCCACCACAGTCGTATAATCCATCACCCTGTAGATCTCCACGAGCTATGCTTGAAAAGACGCCTACTCCCCCGAGAAGGAATCAATGGCAGAAAGGCAAGCTTATTGGTCGTGGCACATATGGAAGTGTTTATGTGGGAACTAACAGGTTTGAACTATACTTTTCCTTGTCAATCTTGTGTCTTCACTTGTTATTTTTTGCGGTGCGGTAATGGTGGTTGAAATGTTTTACAGGGATACTGGAGCTCTGTGTGCAATTAAGGAAGTTGACATTATCCCTGATGATCCCAAGTCTGCCGAATGTGTGAAGCAGTTAGAGCAGGTTTGTTTCCTGAACTCCTAACCTTGCATTACTTGGTCAGAAAGCTTGAGGTCCAAGCATGTCTTAGTGGTTGGGAACTTGACATCCTTGCCTTCACCTCGAAGCTAGTGTTTCCTTTCCTCTTTGGTAATGCCATCTCTTAGGAGTCGTTTGGAATTTGGAGGATAGAATGTCACCTACTTTCCTTTGAATGATGGCATGTACACTTTTAATAGTCTGGCTAACCATTTTAACAACAATGGAAGCTGCCATTGATGGAGTTAGATCTCATCATTTTCTGATTTTCTGCTGCTTGCTGCAGGAAATTAAAGTTCTTCGGCATCTGAAACATCCAAACATCGTACAGTATTTGGGCAGTGAGACGGTAGGTGTCCTTTCAGCTTGTGCTATGTTTCCATTTCTGGAAGTCCTCGGTTCAATTAGGAGATTGCTTGGTGGTTTTCAGGTTGATGATCACTTCAACATATATCTAGAGTACGTGTATCCTGGGTCAATCAGCAAATATCTCCAGGAGCATTGTGAAGATATTACAGAATCTATTGTCCGCAACTTCACCCGTCATATTCTATCTGGATTGGCTTTCTTACATGGGACAAAGACTATCCACAGGTGATAATAGTTTTGTTGTGTGATTGTGTGCGTAATCAGTTCACAGTTAGCATCTGTAATTAATAGAGGATTGTGTACAGGGATATTAAAGGTGCAAATTTGCTAGTTGATGCATCGGGCATTGTTAAGCTTGCGGATTTTGGGATGGCAAAACATGTGAGCCTCTTGATAATCAATTGTTCACATTGTGTCTTTCATTTTCTGTGTCGCATGTTTGAACACTAGTCGTTTCAGCTTGCAGGCATCTCATATCAGTTGTCGCTGAAAGGCACTCCCCATTGGATGGCTCCAGAGGTACTAATCCACCTTCATTCGATTTTGTCTATTTCCTTTTTGTGGCCAACTGTTGCTTTCTTTTCTTGCTAAAGTGTTTTTATATTTTTCTTTGTTATAGGTCATACAAGCTGTGATGCAGAAAGACGGCAGTCCTGATCTTGCGTTTGCGGTTGATATATGGAGCTTGGGTTGTACTGTGATTGAGATGTTCACCGGTAAACCTCCATGGGGTGATCTTCAAGGGGTAAGTAATCCCGTAGCTGAAAAATAATTCCGCCTCTACTGGCTCATTGCATTAGGTGATCTCACTTTTTCAGTTGCATCATGTATGCCTATTTTGTATCTCTTCTTGTTTCAGCCTCAGGCAATGTTCAAGGTGTTGAACAAATCTCCGCCAATTCCAGAAGCTTTATCCGCCGAGGGAAAAGATTTCCTTTTGAGCTGCTTCCGTAGAAACCCGGCTGACAGACCAACCGCTCTTGCTCTGCTTGAACACCCTTTTGTGACAGGTTATTCAAGTGATCTCAACGGAAAAACCAGCTCTCCAGCACCCTCTTTCGCAATGCTTATGGTAAGTATCAGCGGAACTTAGCTTCTTATTTAAACAAACTTAGGGTGCTTATCCGGTTTTGATCCAGAAAACCAAACCGAATAAATGGACTTCTAGAGATTTCAGGGTTTTATATTAGTGGTTTCCTGGTTTGCATAATTGGTTTCTGGGTTTCCCCCTCCCCCCCCTCCCCCCCCCCCCCCCCCCCCCCCCCCCTCCTTCTCTCTCTCTGAATTCACTTCACGTTTCCGGTTAGCCATTATGATTTGTGGTTCTGGCCGGTGCCATTCGCACTTTGGTTACGGTTTTGAATGAGCTACCCCTTACCAATTTGCGGTTTTCCAGTTCTGTTAATCGGAACCAGCCTCTACTTTCTACTGCTAATTTCCCTTGCTGTGATTCTACAGGATAAACCACAAGCGCCCAGAAAGCCTGCTGCTAGAAGATTTGATATACTGCCAACCCTCCAAGGCACAAGGACGATGATTGAGACACTGTCCATCAATAAGCAAGTTATCAGTAATATGCCAGTGAGCAACCATCCTTTGTCAATTTTAAGAAGTCATGGAAGGGAGGTTTCCTACATGTGAAGCAACCGTTTCTTTTGGGGGGGACTCTGCTCACTGTTAGGACATTGGTTAGGACCTTTAGCCGTTTCTTCTGTAAAACTCACTGCCAGGAATGGGGCCCTTCGCAGTCTAGGTCCGGCTGGATGAGAGTCGACATGTCCATTGCCGGTTGATTCATTTGTTCCTTCTAGTATTTCCTCCTCTTCTTCTTCTTCTTCCTTGTTCATATTCCTTGTTAGGAATTATAGCTTCTGTGTATATACTTACAAATTGCATTCATGCACATGTACCGGAAAGACAGAGACTAGTTTAGGCTGGGGGAAAAGGGAAGCAAAAATGAAAGTGTACATAGGTAAGAGAAACAGTCTGATAATGCTTCCTTCGAATTTGGTTCATCTCTTTGACTGAGGTAAAATATTTGCCTCCAATTTGTGGTTGTATAAGTAACAAATATGGAGCATTCTGCTCAGGACATTTCATTTTACTATATTTATTGTTAGATAAATTTTAATGTTCGTCGCCAGCTTGGTATAATCGAAATTCCCTTTTAACTAATGTGACAGAATTAAATCCATTACAAGTTTAGGAAATCATAACAAAACATCCTTTCCCTATGTAAAGAAAAAATCACAAAACGTATCCTCCCACAGACAAATAAAAAATGATTGAACAAAAGCCCATATAGAGAGAAAAAATAAAAGTCCCGATCCGGCACCATGGCCCAAGCCCAACTAATTAAACCGAGCCGTACTTCCGCCGGCAGCGCCGCCCCTGAGGGCAAGAACGAGATGAAGAACGTCGCCGGTTTCAATTTGGTAATCCTTCCCCGTCTTGTCATCCGCCATCTGCTTTCCTTTGAAGATCAGCCGCTGCTGGTTCGGCGGGATTCCTTCCACCTCCTCCACTTTCACCTTTATCCCTGCAACCGTGTCGTTCAAGTCCACGTCGACACCGATCTCCTTCCCCGTGAGCGTCTTCACTTTGATCATCGTCCCTCCCCTTAGCCTCAGAACCAAGTGAAGCGTCGATTCCTTCTGAATGTTGTAATCGGCCAGAGTTCTGCCGTCTTCCAGCTGCTTCCCGGCGAAAATCAGGCGCTGCTGATCGGCCGGAATTCCTTCCTTGTCCTGAATCTTGGATTTCACATTGTCCACGGTGTCGCTGCTCTCCACCTCTAGATTTATCGTCTTCCCGGTGAGCGTTTTCACGAAGACCTGCATCTTTTTCAGCTGCCGATCGAACCTGACAAGGGGGTTGGTGATTTCTTCTTGGCCTTCTCCTCTGCTAATCTGAGAGCGAGTTTGCAATTGGGTTTTCGTTAGTCGGGGGTCGGGTCTTTTTATAGCCACTGATTTTGTTGCCGATTTCTCGTCGGAAAAGGAGAAGCAGAGTTCACTCCGACCAGTCCGAATCTGTATAGGAGAAGGTGGGATCTTTTCCGTTTCCCTAGCTGTTACCTCTTCATATACGGCACCGTTTTGCAGTGTCCTTTCCTTTCAAACGAGATCAATAGGAAGCTGATTGTTTTTACAAGATTTGGCTGGTATGAAACTATGAATGTTGAAAAACAGTCTTACAAGTCCAGTGAACGGTTTGATCCTTGAGGATTCTCATTTCTCAACGAACACACTTTGAGAGTATACATTCTCCCCTTTGTTTATGGTACATCGTAACTTGTAAGTTGTAACTCTGTTTGTAAGCCGACATGTGCAACATCATCAACGGCGGCATCTGTTCTGCTCTTCCAGGGTCAGAGAGAGAATCGAGATAGCCCTGATTCCTGGCCCTTGTAATCACCATAAACGTTTGTCAGCTGCTCTCGGATGGATGAAACGAGACGGGAAGCTTCCTGATCGAAGATTATGGGATACCTTGGCAAACTCTGGAAAAGTAACAACCACCATTTGATTCCCACATTCCATGAAGTATACAATGCTTTTGAATGTGCAAGAAGAATATGTAAAGAAGGTGGGTGCATCTAATACCTCAGTCGTCCACAAGCAATCGTTCGTCTTGCGAGGGATTATATGGATATGCGTCTGTAGAGGAATGTGAATACAGAGAGTCAAAACAATCTATGAGAAATGGCAGAAAATGAGATGGTATGTGGAATCAACTCACATGGTATATAACTTGCCCTGCAGCTGCCCCGTTATTCACTAGCATGTTGAATGAATCTGCAAATAATAGAAAGTAGATATTAATAGCTCTTCAATGTGGATGCTTAGAATAGTTGGCTACCTATCTATCTACATAGGCACAAATAAAGATCCAGAGAGCTTTTCAACCAGATATAGGTTCATACAAGTGGACACAGACGAGATATAAGAACTTCAATAAGTTTTACAGAAGAACCAGATTGCTTAAGTTTCATTGTTTTACAGGTTTAACGAGCTAGCAGTTCTCCCTACAACGTAGAAATGAATTCAGAGTATCTTATACACAAAATTTTATGAACTCGTGTTCGTAGATGGAGGCAAGGGCACATAGTCTTTCTGATTCAGAGGCAAGGGCACATCCTCAGGGACTGCAACGAGATAAACACAGAGAAACGCAGCAAACAGGATCCAACGAAAAAGAGAGATTATGGCCCAGGAGAGAACATATGCAATAGGTTGTGTCGAAGGTATTACCAGAGCCAGTGGCCTTCATAAGAGCATTCGCAATAAAAGGTGCCTTTGAACACATTGCTGCCACCAACTGCAGGATTGATAAATACAGCACCTCAGAAGACTCACCAAGAAGAAAGCACCCCTAGATCACTAAAATATTCTAATGACGCAGCTCAGTGATGAGTGAAGGCACCAACTTGCCATAAACATAACTAACAAGTTAGATCAACGCAGGGAGTTAGATTCCAGAATGAGCCCGTATATGGAAATCCTACGGTGCCACTAGAAAGGAATCGTTATATCCATTAGTCTACTCATTTCTATGGATATTTATAGTTAACGAAAGGCATTCAAGCAGGAAAAACACAGTGGGAGTAGTGAACTGAATGCTAATTTGCTGCATGCACATTTGCATCACCCATCATCATATGGACTTGTTAATAAAGTTCCAGAGTACTTACAGATGGAGGGGTTGACTCCAAGGTAGAAAAGTGAGCCTTTGGTATAATAAGGGAATGCCTAAGAAAGCAAGCCAAGCATGAAACCAAATAAGCAAATTCAGGCAGAAGTGGTGACAAAAGCTGCAAGCAAAATGCTTAAGTACTCTCTCATTTACATTTGCAAGTACAGCAACATTAAAAGCATGCATGGATTAGAAATTTAGAATGAATCCAGATGAAGCTCTACTAAAGATATTGATTCAGGCAAATATACCTTACCCATGACTCAACGGGTTTCGGTCCAAAATACAGAGGCAAGAATCATCTTCGTAAAGCTGCAAAATCCGGAGGCAAACCAAAAAAACCCTTGAGAACCCATTAAACTCCACTCCAAAAAGATTCAAAATTTTCAATTAGGGAGTTGGTGGATTCAAATTACTTTGAAGGCCGAAGATTGGCCGCGAACAATAGAGCAAAAGACACAATCTTGGTCCCTCTGTTTTTCGCCGCCACCACCACCGCCGGAGCCCATCATAAAATTAGAATCAGAAGAAGAATTACAAGGAGACAGAAACTGTGATTGGGAGGAAGCAACAGGTGAAGCGGACGAGGGGTGTAGGTGGGAGCAAAGAATGGCGAGTCTTCTTCGAGACTCCATTGCTAAGCATTTATTGGGCACAAGAAGAAAGGGGCTGCCCAGAAAAAGCAACTGCCATATGAGCCCAAGAGGAACAAGGAGGAAGAAGAAGACGAAGAAGAAGAAGAAGAAGAGGAAAGTGAGGTGGAGAACGGGAGGGTGTCGTTGGATTTTTGGATTCCCTTATCCTCAGATGACTCTGTCGGGGGAGAGAGAGAGGTTTGCGGTGGAGCAGATGTCTCGAACTTGTGTTGGTAGGGAAAGGTTTTGGACTTTTGCGAGACAAACCGCAGACGTTACTGGGTGTTAGCGTGGCTGCTTGTTTTCTGGCTTTGTCGTATACGCAAATAAAAACTACTGGATTGCTTCAAGCCTTCAACTCTAAACAGACTGAGTCGCTGTAATTGGGCTTAGGATAGAGTCAATAATCATTGGTTATTGACTTATAAGTGATTAAATCTGAACCTTTAAATTTAAGTGGATGAAAATTCAGATATAAGGTTGTCAATTAAAGACATTTTATTTTTCCTAGTTTTCTTAATCGGCTCTTATCTTCTTCGTTCTAACTCGGATTTCAATTTTTTTTGCACAGATGGAACGAGTTCGTTGTACTCTACAAAATGAGATCAATTTTCAATATATTTCGAGAAACTTTTTTTTTACCAACTACATACCATATGGTAACTTCTTCGTTTTTAAGTCGTTTTTGAAAACGTTTGCTCAGAAGGAACGAGTTCATCATGATCTATTGGATCTATAAATTTCTGGGTGAAAAAAGACTTTCTGAAAGAGAGAGGATACTGATGTGGACATGTTACTTATGGTTACTGACCATAGGGTTACTAATCTGATCCGTTCCTCTGTAATTGATGCAACTTTTAGGGGTCGTTTGTTTTTTTATTATTATTTGCTTGAATTAGTTACAGTGCATGAATTTTTTTACAAACTTTACATGTATTGTTTGCTTGATATGATGGAAACTATCACTTAATATGAGTAATAGTAATATCTCAAGTTTTGGTGAGATTGTTGGAGTGTTTTCTTGTTGATATGACTTGAATCGGATTATCAGCCGCTACGACTGGTAATCGGGGGTCTCGCTGTTATTTGGGTTCGGGTTCTGGGCCTGGTCTGTAACCGTTTCCTTTGCCAGATTGGATTAGGTTTAGACCCACATGGAGAAGTACTATAAATACTTCTCATACTCCTCTGTAATCTGTAATCTCCTTGATATAGTGAAACTGGCTCTCTCTCGCCCGTGGACGTAGCTAACACACATCGTGTTAGTGAACCACGTAAATCGTGTGTCGTGTTTTCGATTCTCGCTTTCGTATTCTTGCTTGGTCGATTCCTGCGATTTCCCGATCCGTAGCAGCGCGTTTATAACATTTCTATTTCCAATTATGTCCCTACTTTTTGATTTTTTTGCCTTTTTATATTAAAAACAAAGGGTAAAAGTTGTTGGGCGAGATCAGAGCAACAACTTATCTATGGCAAAACTGGAGCATCATATTGGACAGAAAAGGAAAGAAGTTTATTCTGGGAAACTCACTCAATGTTGGAGCAACGGGCATTTCTTCCCAACGACTACTAATCAAGGCTATATAATGTCTCCTCTCGGTTTCAGATTAGTAACTTTTTATATTAAAGACAAGAGCGGTAGAGGGCTGTGTGTTTGAGTAAAAAGGGAATTTCTCCAGAGGTATAGGTTCTGAGAGAGTGGTTGAAGAGTGCAGAGTTTTGGATTGAAAACTCTGGTTGTTCTGTTCGTATATTTGCTTTTCAATTTCCATTGTAATTGAGTCTATTAAAGCTGAAAATTGATAGTGTCTCTCGACAGTAGCGTTGACTGTTGCCGGGACGAGGAAGTAGCCATTGTTAGGCGAACCTCGTTAAAATTGCCTCTGTGTTGTTTACTTTGCTCCTTCCTTCTTCTTCCCCTGCCTCATACCTCTGTTCTGCTTATGAATCAAGAAGATCAAACAGAGTACGTCTCTGTTTTAACGTGTTACTGGGCTTGGTGCTCAAAAGCCCAAATTGCCTATTGCATCTCTACTTAACGATTAAGCCTTGATTGAATTAACCATTCAGTTGAATTAAGCCCATATCGATAAAGAAAGAGATCAAAGCAGTATGGTGTCCTCTTCTCTCTTCTTCCTCGTTTCTTCTTCCTGTACTTTCCCAATCCTTTCGAAATAGAAATCCCTAATAGAGCTAGCTACTGCCAAAGGGTAACGATCCATGGGGACAAATCCTCAGTCTTCTTTTGGTCCGACATCCCACCATAATCCGCCTTGGTTCATCGGCTCTAACTATAATGGCTGGATAAAACACATGAAAACGTTCATGTGGGGAATCGATGCTGATCTTTGGGTTATTATTCGGGATGGAGCTGTTGAGATGGATCCAGAGCATCAGAATGAATGGACGGATGAGCAAAAGAAAAGCGTACAACTCAACTGTCGTGCAATGCACATCTTGCAAACCGCCATCTCGCCTGTTGAGATTGATAAAGTGGAGCAGTGTGAAACTGCTCAAGAAATCTGGTCCATTCTCGAAGCAACTTATGAAGGTATGTCAAACATCAAGGAAACTCGTATTGATTTACTTATGCATGAATACGAGACATTTGATATGTTATCCAATGAAAGGATTCATGAAATGTATTCCAGGTTTACTGGATTTAATAACAAATTGAAGGGTCTAGGTAGAACCATTCCGTCTAAAGATATGGTCAGGAAAATCCTTCGTTCATTACCTAAGGAGTGGCTACCTAAACGAACTGCCATAGAAGAAGTCAGGAATCTTAATACTTTGTCTGTAGATGAATTAGTAGACTCTCTTATAAGTCATGAACATGTGATTAGACAGGTAGGAAAGGAGGATGAAAGGCGTAAGAAAAATCTTGCCTTCAAGAGTCGAGTCCATGAATGAGTCAGATAATGAAATCGACTTGGATTTTGAAAGAGAACTTGCACTGGTTAGTAAGAAGTTTCATCGAATGATGAAACACAAGAATGACCAAAGGCAACGTGCTGCTGAGAACAGTGGTCGATATGAGTCACCAAATTGTTTTCAAGAGTTAAATAATCGTTTTGCTGGAACAACTAGTCGTTATTTTGACTCAAACAACCGATTTCTTGACTCATATACTAGACATAATGAGTTTGCTAATCGAAATGGTGAAAATGGTAGAAATATTGGGAACTCTGGTCAAGTTAAAAATGCTACCTTTGAAAGATTTGTTTCGCAGGGAAGAGAAGTATCTTCAGGAGGGCCTGATCGTGAGCCTCAAGGTTGCTACAAGAGTGGAAAAGTAGGACTGTGCGTGCTAACTGCCCTCTGACGATGAAAAAAAAAGGAGCCATGGCAGCATCTTGGAGTGATTATGAGTCCGAAGATTGTGTTTGGAGACAACAGTGCAGGTAGAATTGTGGGACATGGCACAATTGGTCTGCCCCCTATGCCTACTGTTAAAAGCGTCATGCTTGTAGATGGTCTCAAACACAACTTGCTTTCCATTAGTCAGTTATGCAGCAGTGGAAATAAGGTTACGTTTGAAACCTCACACTGCCTGGTTGAAAAAAATCATGACAACAAAATGATATTTATAGGAAATCGAGTAGGAAATATGTATGTGATAGACCTTTCTTATTTAAATGCTTTTAATGAAAAATGTTTGGTCTCTCAAACCTGTCATCAAGAAACTATGTGGCACAGAAAACTTGGGCATATTAGCTTAAAGAGACTTGCCTCTCTGTCAAAGTCTAAACTTGTCCAAGGAATGCCTGAGTTAAAGGAACGAGGGGACTTCTTTTTTAGTGCTTGTGTTGCTGGAAAACATTCCAGAAAACCCTTTAAAGCAAAGTCTAACATTGCAACCACCAAACCATTTGAATTAGTTCACATGGATTTGTTTGGCCCTTGCACTGTTACTAGTCTTGGGGGTAAACACTATGTTTTTGTCCTGGTAGATTACTTCTCCAGATTTTTCTGGGTTTATTTTATTACCTCTAAAGATGAACTTTCAAACAATTTCAGTCCTTTGTCAAGAAGCACTCCGAAATCAAGTGCATTATAAGTGACTATGGAGGTGAATTCGTGTCTGATGAATTTTCAAACTTCTGTGATTCAATGGGAATTATCCATACTTTATCTGCTCCCCGCACTCCACAACAAAATGGAATTGTGGAGAGGAAGAATCGAACTTTAATTGAAACTGCCAGAACTATGTTGTTAGATTTTGATCTACCAAAACACTTTTGGGCCGAAGCAGTCAGTACTACTTGTCATGTTATCAATAGGGTTTTGATTCGTAAGTATCTGAACAAGACTCCATATGATATCTTAAAGAAAAAGACTCCAAATATTTCCTATTTCCACCCTTTTGGATGTCACTGCTTTACTCTTAACACCAAATATACCCTTGGTAAATTTGATGCTAGGTCAGATGAGTCAATTTTCTTGGGGTATTCAGTGAAAGGACAAGCTTACATGTCTTTAATAAAAGAACTCGAAAGGTAGAAGAATCAGTTCACGTTTTATTTGATGAGTCTAACTCTACTTCTAAGATATATGAGCCAGGTACTCAGATATTAGACTTGCTGGAGCTAACCAACTGGAATAAGGATCATCTAGAGACAACCTCTCCTCTTCAATGTAGAGAACCAGTACAGACTAATCCTTCTTCCTCGTCAACATCTTCGCAGCAAATTCACACTGAAACAGATGCAGAAGTTCGTGCACCTCCCCATATCCAAAGACTTCATCCTGAAAGTCAGGTCATTGGCAATATAATGGATGGTCTGCGCACTCGAGGTAAATATACTCCAAGTCAGTATGCATATGTTTCTCAAGTAGAACCTAAGTCTTATAAAGAAGTCTTGCATGATGAGGAATGGGCTTATGTTATGTTAGAAGAGTTAGCTCAATTCGAGTACCTAAAGGTCTGGGATCTTGTGCCATGACCTCTAGGAAAGACTATTATAGGTACTAATTGGGTGTTTAGAAATAAGTCTGATGAAGAGGGTACTATTATCCGTAATAAGGCTCCTCTTGTTGCCTAAGGATACTGTCAAGAGGAGGGCATAGACTATGACGAAACCTTTGCCCCTGTAGCCCGTTTGGAGTCAATTAGACTTTTGTGTTCTTTTGCATGTCATATGAACTTTCCTCTATTCCAAATGGACGTTAAAAGTGCCTTCTTGAATGGAGACATTCAAGAAGAAGTTTATGTATCACAACTTCCTGGGTTCTGTGATTTTCAGCATCCTGACTATGTGTATAAGCTGAACAAAGCTCTCTATGGGCTTAAACAAGCTCCCAAAGCTTGGTTTGATCGCTTGACCACATTTCTTAAGGATCAAGGTTTCACTCAAGGGTATGTTGACCAAACGTTGTTCACTAAGACCTCAGGTCATCATTTTCTTATTGTCCATGTCTATGTTGATGACATTGTGTTTGGTTCTATTGATTCCTCCATGTGCACTGAGTTCTGTGAAGCTATGAAATCTGTTTTTGAAATGAGTATGATGGGTGAGCTTCAATTTTTCTTAGGACTCCAGTTCAAACAAAACTCACATGGTACTTTTATTAGTCAATCTAAATATATTCATACCATGTTGCAAAAGTTTCATCTTTCCAACATCAATTCCAGCCCTACTCCCAGGGCTATGAATCTTAAATTGGACAAAGATGAAAAAGGGTTACCTGTGGATGAAAAACTGTTTCGGGAAATGATTGGTTCGCTTCTTTACTTGATGACCAGTCATCCTGATATTCAGTACAGTGTGTGTCTGTGTGCAAGGTTTCAGGCAGCTCCTAAAGCTAGTCACTGCTAGTATACCCTTATACTGTGACAACACTAGCACTATCTGTATGACAAAAAACCCTGTCCAGCACTCTAGGACCAAGCATATCGAGATAAAGTATCACTTCATTTGCGAGCTTGTTCAAAAACAGGTTGTCTCTCTTAACTATATCTCTACTGAATTTCAGTTAGCTGATCTATTTACTAAACCCTTGTCTTCTGACCGGTTTGTTTTTCTGTGCTATGAAATTGGGTTCCGGTCCTTATAGAATCTCTCTGATTTCCTTGCTTATTAGCTTCTATGTTTTGCTTTTAGTCTTTCCTTTTTGTTTTTCTTGCCTTTGCTATCTTGTGATGATTTTTCTTTCCTTATTTTTATCTAATTTTTAGCAATTCTTGTGTAGTGGCAATTCACTTTCCCGTTCTTAGGTATTTTTGCGCTCTAAATATTGCGTGTGCCTGTGCTTTTCGTTATGTCTTGTGCTTTGTCAGTCTTTTTTTGTCATCAGCCATGAATCGTGCGCTAACTCGCACTTATACTGGCTCTCTTTTTTATGAACATGTGTCTCTCAGTCACCATCGTCATAGTCTCTACTATGAGAATCGACCCATTGCCACCCCCATTCGTGTCCATCTTCCTGATTTTATGGATTATGGTATGGATGTTAGGGGTTTCATTCATAATCTTGGCTGGGATTTCCTGTTGGTAGATCCTCCCTCTTCGATTTGCCCCAAGCTTGTCCACTACTTCTATTCCAATCTGCGCTCTTTTGGTCTCCACAGTCGTAGTTTTTCAACTGTTGTATATGGTCATCTAGTAACCATTCCTGTCCCTGAACTGGCTCGCCTTCTAAACATTCCTACCTTAGGTGAAGTTCTGGCTCATGAATCTAAGCTTTGGCGCTTCAACTTCAATATTGCGGCATAATTTGTTTAGTTGACTGGTGTCCATCCGGACCCAGCAACCTATCTTCCAGTTACCTCTGTCCTCCCTAGCCTTCGTGCGCTTCATTTTATCATCGCCAGAATCTTGTTGCCTCGCACTCAATCTCTAGATGGTATCCTTCCTATGGATCTTTGGATAATGTCTCATGCTGTGACTGGTGTACCATTAGATTTTTCTTATCTCCTCTTTGGCGTCTTCATGACCTTCAGAGACTCAAGTTTCCCTGGTCCCCTTCCCTTTGGGCCTCTTATCACTCAGCTCTTTCTCTGTCTCGGGATTAGTATCTCACTCTTTCTGACTGAGCAAACCTCATGTTCTTCACTGTTGAACAAGTCCTTGATGCTTTGGACTTGCAAACGAGGGGGAGATGACTGATGATGACCCTGAAGAAGATTCTAATGAAGATCCTGACGACGAACCAGTAGAGGACCCTAAAGCTATGGCAGAAGATAACCTTGAAGAGGACCCTGGAGGTGTTACTGGAGAAGCAAATATGGAAGATAATGATGACTCTGCTCTCGATCACTTTGCTGCGGCTTTGCTTATGTTGAAGAAGGGTTTCATGTTGCCGCTGCTGGTGCAGAAATGGCTGGAGGGTGGCTGGTAGACTTGTGGACTACAACTCTGACGATTTTGGCTCTGTTAATGACTGAGTTTCTCTCACTCAGGTGGAGTTTCTGTTAGGGGGAGTTACTGTTTTTTGTTGTGCACCAAACTTGAAACTTTCGGGTGTGTTGCCTTGAGTGCTTGTTTTTTTCCTGGATTGATGGTTGGTCTTTTCATTGCTAGATAAACCGGGTTGCTTCGTCTAAATGTTTGGCCTGTAGTTTTGGTTGGTATGTGTTGTTCTTTTCTTGCATGTTGTGTTTCAATTGCAAGCTCTGATCTAGGGGGAGATTGTTGGTTGAGATCAGAGCAGCAACTTATCTGTGGCAAGACTGGAGCATCATATTGGACAGAAAAGGAAAGAAGTTTATTATGGGAAACTCACTCAATGCTGGAGCAACAGGCATTTCTTCCCGACGGCTACTAATCAAGGCTAGATAATGTCTCCTCTCGGTTTCAGATTAGTAACTTTTTGCATCAAAGACAAGAGCGGTAGAGGGTTGTGTGTTTGAGTAAAAAAGGAATTTCTCCAAAGGTATAGGTTCTGAGAGAGTGGCTGAAGAGTGCAGAGTTTTGGATTGAAAACTCTAGCTGTTCTATTCGTATTTTTGCTTTTTAATTTCCACAGTAATTGAGTCCATTAAAGCTGAAAATTGATAGTGTCTCTCGGCAGTGGTGTTGAATGTTGCCGGGACGAGGAAGTAGCCATTGTTGGGCGAACCTCGTTAAAATTGCCTCTGTGTTCTTTACTTTGCTCCTTCCTTCTTCTTCCCCTGCCTCGTACCTATGTTCTGCTTCTGAATCGGGAAGATCAAACAGAGTCCGTCTCTGTTTTATCGTGTTACCGGGCTTGGTGCTCAAAAGCCCAAGTTGCCTATTGCATCTCTACTTAATGATTGGGTCTTGATTGAATTAAGCCCATATCGGTAAAGAAAGAGATCAAAGCAGACCGGTGTCCTCTTCTCTCTTCTTCCTTGTTTCTTCTTCCTGTACTTTCCCAATCCTTTCGAAATAGAAATCCCTAATCAAAGAGCGACCTTCAAGTGACATTTCATCAAAATAGTAATCTATCTTATTTAAATACTAGAACAACTATCACGAAACCAAACGATGTAAATTACAATACATCAATTTTCTTATATACATGTATATCATTATGCATGCAATGATAGCAATGCATCTGTTTATCTATCACCAAAACCAAACAACCCTATGTTTGTTTAGAGGTGCAAATAGAGCGGAGCAAATTTAGGGGTGCAAATTTGCACCCATTTGGATAGTTTGCAATAGTAGTGAGGGGGTTAATGCGGGGTAGATCTACTATTCCACTAGACCCCCAATTTCGGGTGCAAAAGGAGAGAGAAAGTGAGGGAGGAAGGATAAGAAATGGTTAAAGTAAAAAATTTATTGATTTTTATTTTGTTTTTATGTTTAATAATTATTTAATGGATAAAATATAATAAGTAACAACTATGTTATATTATAATTATAATAATTATAATAGTAAATTAGTTATAATAAATACATAATAATTATTATCATTTTTATCATTATGGTATTATTAATGTAGATGTTGTCCGCTATTCACGTTTGACTCCGTGAGTAAGTTTGTCAAAGTTTGTGAAGTCAAATCAAGATCTCTTGGTTTACTCGAAATTGCGCCAAAAATTAAAGAGAATAAATGTTTTAACTTACATATTCTAACGTGATTTGATATATCAATTTCACACCGGTTTAGTTAACTCAGTTTACATGATTAGATAGTTAAAACTTACATATTCGAACATGTTTACGTAGATATAGATTTAACCTAATCAAATTTAAAGTTAAAGTGGACACGATAACCATATAGGATGACCAGTTGTGGTTAATTTAAGCATGAGAACCCGGTAGGATGCCCAATTACGAGTTGAGTTTCGAGCTTCGTGGCCCCTCGATCAATGATATTGCATTTGTTATAATTAATTATTAGTTGAGTATTACTATTTTATTAATATTTATTATTATATAATTATTTTTTTTATTGTTTTGTGATAATCTTTTATAAATTTGATATATTCATTTTATAATAATATAATTTACTTATTTTTAGTTTATTTGCACCCCTACTTTTTCATCCAAACAACAATTTACTCTTACACTTGCAACCCCACCAATTCGCACCCTTTTGTAATTTACCTCTCAACTTGCACCCCTCGAATTCGCACCCCTAGTTGCCAATCATAGCGTAAAATAAGCGGATGCAACTTTTAGTAAGCGGCGACCACATTTTCAGTAATTACTCTCTGGTTGATTGTTTGTATTGATCATTGATGCATCTTTTTCTTGTGTGTTTTCTTAAGATGAATCGCTCATTTGTTTTGATAGTTGGTACTAAATTTTGTTTCTTCTCCCCGATTTCTACTCCTCTAGGAAGGCTAATGTTATTAGTTGCAACTCACATGACTTTATATTATCAGATTTGGTTCATCAACTTTGTGTCAAGAAAATTGTGAGGGAAGGCGGGATCTAATCACTCTTTTTAAGAGTGTTATTTGTTCTTGCTACCAAATTGTTGGTCGGAAACAAACAAATCACCCTCTAAAAGTCTCTCCAATTAAAGTCTTGCAAAAGCAATCTTTTAGGCTTATGTGTTTGTGAAACGAGGAAGGAAAACAAAAGAAGATGAACGTTAGAAAAAAATTCTAGCAGTAATGGACTTTTAATGTGAAGAGTTTCTGAAGGGTTACTTTCTTTCACAAAAGTCAAATAAATAAATAATTATATGAAATTAATTAATCACAAAATAATTATGGAATCCCGAATTAAATAATCAGGCAGGCAAAAATGAATTTCGAAACTCTTTAAGCAGACATGCAAAATGCACTCTCCTTCTCTTTCAAATATGGTATTTCCACTCTAGATTACTAACTCAACACTTTGAGGAAAAAATCCAAAACTACCACTGTTTAAAAAAAAAATTACAAAAATACCACCCATTCCCAACAATTTCCAAAAATACCATCGTTTATTTAAAACCGCGCCTCCTGGCAGTGGTTTACAATATAACCGCCTTGCCAAGAGGCGTTTTTTATTTCCAGCAAAAACCGCTTCTGGAAGGCGCGGTTATATACTAATCCTACCACAAAACGCTTCAAGAGGGAGCGTTTAAATGTCGGCATGATAAACCGCCCCACCAGGTGGCGGTTTACCATGTCCAGACATAAACCGCTGCCCCAAGGCGCGGTTTGTGCCTGGTCACCCGACAGCAAAAATGTCGGACATGTCGGCATGCAGGGGGTGGGGTTGCATGGTAGACCTGAAACCTCTCCCCCCCTTGCGGTTTTGCTGCAAAATTTGCCTATAAGAGGCTGTATCATAGAACTCAAATTCTTCACACTCCTCTTCTTCCTTCTTCAAATTTCAGCTTTGCACCTTTAAATTATTTAGTTTTTGCGATTAACGTTAATTCGTAAGTTTGTTTTGTATTAATTTTCATTGTCCTTTGTGATTTTATGTTAGTAACTTAATTACTTTACATTGTCCTTTGTGATTTTATGTTAGTAACTTAATTACTTTTCATTGTCTTTTGTGATTTTATGTTAGTAACTTCTATTACTTTTCATTGCAGATGGCATTCCAAAGGTTCACGCTTGGGTTGCGATGGAATGGTTACACAGAAGAGACCGAAAAGGGTGTAAGTTACGTCGGTGGCAATTTTTATAAAATGAAGGTCCGTACGAGTTGAAGAGCTCCATCAAATGTGCACTCAGATTACCTGCATGGATGGCACTAGAAGAGTTGATCAAATGGTGTATCGATATCCAAACAGACATGACGGGTCGCTGTGGAGTGAGGAATTCCTCCTTACCACTCAGGAGGACGTTGATGCCATGGTCCAATTTTTGACCACCAATAAAATTAAGCAAGCGGAGATGTTCGTTTACACCGAGGCCGTCGAAGGCAGTGTAGGTCATTCTGGAGATGGCCAAACATCTGGTATCCACGGTGGGAGTGTATTATACGAAGATCATCCCCACCAGGATTTCCAAGACTCGAGCTAGAGGCAGGAGTATCATCATGGAACTGGAGGAAGTCATCAATCCTTCCCTTCATATGAAGAAGAAGCTCAACAGGCGGATCACAACCAACAAGCAGGCTACCAGTACCCACCCGAGTACAATTTCTATCAAAGCGGTGTTAGTTACCACAACTATCATTACAGAGCTGGTGAAGGTGCCTTTCATGATGATAATCAGACGGAAGAAGAGGTCAATCCAAGTCCAGTTAGTGACCCTGAGGTTGAAGAAGAGGAAGGCGAAGTTAGTGCAGACAGCTTCGATCCGCTGGAAGGTGCTGATGATTCCGTTCCAGATTCAGACGTAGATGGTGATGAGGTACCTCGTGACCGTGTACCTATTCCATACTACAATCACATTCAAAATGGAGATTGGTATGTTGATGCCGACATGGACCCGCCAGATGTGCCATTATGGGGTCCACTCACTGGCTTTACAAAAGGCCAACAATTTTGCAACGAAGAATGAGGTCGACACGCTATTTCCACTGAAGCAATGACTCGGAGTTTTGAATGGCAAACAACCCATTCCGACACAAAGAGGCTGATGGTTCGATGCAAAAATGAAAATGAGAGATGCAAAGCTAGGGTCCGGGCCATCAAGAGCAAGAGAGTCGGCCATTGGGTCATATCCCGTGCGGTGAACACACACACAATAACATCCCGTGTGTCATCAATAACATCCCAAGGCCATCAACAGTTGAAATCAAGGGTGGTTGCCGCGGCTATCAAACATCTAATTGAGGAGCAGCCCGACCTGAAGGTGAAAACCATCTTCGCCCACATTTCTAGTCGTTATGGTTATATCATTAACTACAAGACTCTTAGGAGAGGTATACATCTCCTTAGAAACACAATCTTTTTGACAGAAAAAAGGGGGGATCCGAGGATCGCTTAGAACCCGATTTTCCCAGGTCATGGGGGGATCATGATGATCGCTTAAG